CTGATCCGTTCTTTCATGGAAAAACCAGGACCAAACCGTTGAAAAAAACGGAACGCCCGTGTGAAAGGGGCCTTGTGATGTGTTTGGTATGCATGCATTGGGCTCCTCACTATACAATGAAACTTTGTCCATGTGTTATATAAATAAAAGAACATAAATAAATAGTTACCCAATAATTTATATTTCCTTTCTTTTTTTTGGTAGGGGGAGGGGGTGGTAGGCGGTTATGGATGATAGCCAAACTAAGCTCTAGTTATAGAAGTTTTAGAACAATCATCATATTATATATAAAATTACTGGAGACAAGCCCAATGGTAAACTGGATAACATCACATTTGTGGCTACAGTTCCAGACTATAGAAAGGATGCAGTAGTAGTCCCCTCTACTCTCCACATCCAACCTGCCTATTGGACTGTAAAAGGGCAAGAGGTGACTGAACAGGTAATCTCTCTACTCACTCTGCTCTCTCCTACTATCATCATGTCAGTACATTTGCATACAGCAAATGACAATCAGATGTGCTGAATGATGTTGTGCAGGGGGTTGCAAACTAAAATCAAGTCAAATGCAGACACACTATTTGCATTTAATTTTTTTTTAAATACACATTTTTGTGTTTTTTTTTCTTTTATATACAGTATCCCCATAATAGATCTTTAATTAAATTCAGCTGAACTCCAGGTAAAATATTTATTTTCCCATACAGTGGGATTAACTGCTCGTTATGTCCAGGGGCTCAGGGTAAGCTACACTTATCCTGTCCTCTGATCCTCCAGAAAACCGCACTATCCCGTGTTCAGCGGTGGACTGTACCTGCCATCGTCACATCTATGGCTTATGAGTGTGATGATGTTAGGAACATTCACAAGACCGCTAGTGCGCCCGGGGGGGGGGGGGGGGGGGTACAGTCTTGCACTGATATGATCGGCAGATTAGGTAAGTATATTTCCACTTTCCAAACCTCTAGACAAAAATGAGCATTTAACCCATGCAGTGCAGGCATAGGCCCACTGTATGAGAAAATAAAATTTTTGCCCCTGTCACGGTATAGGGACCCCTGCCAAATGGCTAACGTCCATCACGGTGGCTCCCCCCCCCCCCCCCCGGCCAGCTGGCAGCATGGCCTCTACTGCCCTAGCTTGTTTCCTGCCCCAGCCCCTCTGATGTCCCCGGGGGTTCAGTGTCATCCTGGACCCCTCGCTGTGTCCCTTGTCGCCAGCCCATTCATCCCTGTGGTCCAGTGACCCCCCCTCTACCTCTCAGCCTGCCTCCGTGGGATGAGAGGTGCGGCTTTTCTCACCCCTGCTACTATCTTCTCCCTCTCCAGCCTGGGCCGGAGGGGAGAAGGTGGCGAGACTTACACCTCTCCACGGAGAGGTGCGAGCCTCCCGCGGGGGTATTCCGGGCTACGGTGTCTCGCTGACGCCACCTCAGCCCTGTCATTCGCAGCGCGGGCACGGGAAGTTCCCGCGCTTGCGGATGCCCACAGACAAAGGCCGTGCTCACGAGAGGTGCGGCCCCTGTCAAGGGGGCTTGCTGCGTTTCCGGGCAACGAGGCACGCCAGCTCTGGCCCGCCCCACCTCGGTTGCCTAGACGACCAGGGAGCATCCGACATCAGCTTAAGAAGCTGATGCCGGGCGCTCCGGGGGTATTCACCGCTGCGCAGCCACCGAAGGAGCCCCAGCTGCAGCGGAACCTTCTTGGCCAGACTCTGCAGAGACCCAAGCCTGCCTAAGGCCCCCGCCAGAGCAGGGGAAGATTGCCTGATAGCTGCCAGGGATCCAGAGACCCCCAGCCTAGGGGAGAGATTGCAGGACTGCCTGCTAGCTGTCAGGGATCCAGAGACCCCCAGCCACTGCCTGTCAGCTGCCAGAGATCCAGAGACCCCCAGCCTAGGGGAGAGATTGCAGGACTGCCTGTCAGCTGCCAGGGATCCAGAGACCCCCAGCCTAGGGGAGAGATTGCAGGACTGCTTGCTAGCTGCCAGGGATCCAGAGACCCCCAGCCTAGGGGAGAGAATGCTGGACTGCCTGCCAGCTGCCAGAGATCCAGAGACCCCCAGCCTAGGGGGAGAGATTGCAAGATTGCCTGCCAGTCGCCGGAGGACCCAGCCCAAAAGGGGGGAGACCGCACTCCAGACTCCAACAGGTACCTGTGTTCCACGTTCTATCCCTGGGAGACCAGGCACACCTGTCGGATCCGTGAGTACATGCTTTCTCCCTGTTTCACTTGAACTGTTCCTGTGCTGACCCCCCCCCCCCCCCGTTGGATTACAATGACTACAGAGACTCTGCCTTGGCTCTCAGTGATGGACTATAAGTGTGTTGGCCCCTCCTTGCTACCCATTACTGGCAAATTCACCCTCCCTGCCAATCCCTCTATTGAGTGACTGTCATATGTTTGTCTCAATAAAGCTTTGTGCGTTTGCCATCTACTCTGTGTGTTCTGTCCTGCCTACCGTCCGTCACAGCCCCCAAATATTTTAACCCTGCCCATTTGAAGCCACACTCACAAATACACATCCCCTTCAAGCAATTGGTCACAAACGTTTGGAATAAGAGGCATATATTTAAATCAGTATTAAACTCGAAACCAAAAATGTAATAAATTGTAGCTTACCAATCATTAGATGTGGTGTCTGCATTAGTTTTCTTTTTTAGGCTTGTTTCACTTTTTTTTCACCTGGTGACCTGGCTAATAACACACCTCCTGTATTAGAGTGCCACTGCTCTGGATGAAGGAGCACAAAGACACTTTTAGAAAGCAGCATTGTCAATCTGAGAGGAGGGGAGGGCTAGATGTACCAGCAGATTTGAATACAGTAATAACTTTATAAGCAATTGCAGCAAACAGTTATTTTCCTTTTAGGATAAATATATTGCATAAATGAATAAAAGCTGATCATTGTAAGCACCCATGTCAGTGTTAAATGTCAGTGTTAAATGGTTTGTCCCATCTCTGTAAACAAAGAACTCCTGTACACTGCAGCTGCTGAACTGACATTCAGGAGCTGTTCAGCATTTTTTTTAGCAGCCCCTGAACTCTCCCTGATTTTTTCCTATGTGTCCGTGTACACTATGTAGTTTACAGTAGTTTACAAGCAGTTGAGTTTACAGTTGTCTTTTTTAACGCACCAAACTTGCGTTCAGGGGTAGATTTTACCGATGTTTCAAATGCCAAACGCCTGTAAGCGCGGCTAACCGCGTTTATGAGTGTTTGCGTTTAGAAGCATTTTTTAACTGTTCCATGCCCAGATGCTGTCCAGAGCCTTTTTTCATCATCAGAAATGCATGCAAAGCGTTTTCCATGTACTCAAATGGACCCGGTACACCAGCGCAGTCAGTTTCAGGTTTTGTGTGAAGGAAACAAATGGTAGAACGTGCCGCATTATGCTCATGATGGGATCCATAGTGAATACAACCAGAAAAGACAGGTCATCTCAACACATACTGCTCTCTCTGCATCTGCTCTCTCTATTCCTCTCAAAATGTCTGAAATAGTTAATTATTTATTATTTTTCAGTGCATTCTGGGCATTTGGATTTCCTGAGGTTATCTTTTAAAAACGCTTCTAAAAGCAAACGTGTATAAATGTGGGATGCAAACGCGGCTAAACTGACGTTTTTTAACCTGCGTTTTCCAGTAGTCAGTTTCCATTGTTCAGAAAAGTTTTCCAAACGCCCGTGTACATGAGCCCTAATACACCTGGAAGAGAGCTTGTTTTTATGAAAAACAACAGACTTACTGGCCAGATCAGCAGATGAAAATAGAAAAAAAAAGCATTAAAAAACGATAGCAGCCATCACATCTAAGAATTGATAAGCTCCAAGATAAATGTTTACTTTTGGGTTTATTACCGCTTTTATTTAAAGTATAAAAACAAATAAACAGATTTTAAATAAGAGTTACCATGATGTGCATGCATACTTAAGAGGAATGCTTTGAAGGTGGGAAGAACAGCGTGGTCCACCGAACTGCTGAAACATAGTTGATGGTTGTGAAGTAGTGCGGATGGCTGTGGTACATTGTAGTGATTTGCAGAGTTTATTAGCAGTGCAAAGTATGAGGCTAACAGCGGCAAAGATGTAAGGTGGAATTGTAGCCACAGTAATCCTCTGATTCATGTTGCGGCTCTGAGCGGCTAGGTTCGGCTGACGACCTCTTCACTATATACACAGGTCGTGGGTATTTGCGGCTCTCTGCACAGCCAGCGTTTACCTACAGTGATCACTGCTGAACGATTTTTTGTTTTCCCAGCACATTCCTTGGATCCTCAATTGGATTAAGATCTGGAGAATTCAGAATACAATTGAACACCTTAAAGCTGTGTTCCACCTAACAAGAAAAAAAAAAAAAAAGTCAGCAGCTACAAAAACTGTAGCTGCTGACTTTTAAAAATACAGCCACTTACCTGTCCCTCGGTCCAGCGGTGTCCTCACCACACCTGGTTTCACCGGCCGTCTTCTCTCCCTGGCGCCGGCATCTTTAGTGTGGGCACCCGGCTGTGACGGCTTGCGGCTTCACAGCCGGGTGCCCACTGCGCATGCGCGAGAAGTGCTGCGCTTTGTAAATGGGCCCGTACTCTTCTGGGACCGATCACATGTCCCAGAAGACTACAGGGAGGGAGCACAACTTCAGCTTCCAATTGCCTAGGCGGAAGTGGGACGGGGTACCTGTCAAATTCGGGTACCCGCTGCCCAAAGGAGCCAATCATTAATGGGGAATGGGGGACAAAGGCTTAAAGTGGAACTTTCCCTTTTGGGTGGAGCTCCGCTTTAAGCTCGTTGTGTTCATCAAATCATTATTAGACCATCTTTGCAGTGTGGCAGAGTGCATTATCCACTAAATGACGCCACTGCCTTCAGAGAATACCTTTCCATGAAGGGGTGTACTTGGTCAGCAGCAATGTTTAGATAGGTGGTGCATGTCAAGTAACATTCATATGAATGACAACACTCAAGGTTTTCCAGCAGAACATTGCCTAAGCCTCTGGTCACATCAGGTGCAACTTGGCATGCCATTTGCATGCCAGGCAACCAGGGGTGGACTGACCATTTGGAAAACTCGGGCACTGCCCGAGGGCCCAGGGTCAGTAGGGGGCCCCATGAGATGCCCCTGGTACCTTTTTCATAGGCTTTTTTGAGTTTGGGCAAGGACACAGGGGCCCCATGATCCCCTATTGCCTGGGGGCCCCATGAGTTGTCAGTCCGCCCCTGCAGGCAACTTTCAAATTGTATGCCAAGTCGCACCCTATTGCCCGCTATTAGAACGGTCATATCCAGTGGTGTATTTAGGTTTTGTGCTGCCCTAGGCAACAAAAAATCGTCACCCCCACGCAGACTGAGCCTGACATTGAGCAACAACACCCCTGCCCCCCACCAGAGGGAGCCGTCCATTACCACTGCCCCCCAACACCAGCCATCATCCCCCATAGCAGAGAGAGACACTCACCTTCACAGCTCCGGACATCCCCAGGAACGAGAGTTGGGCTGTGCATACACCATCATGAAACCTGCAGCCTCTCTTGGAACCCACCAGGTCCCCATGCTGCATGTGTCCCTTTTTTTGTCCCTTCTTCCAAGGGGCAGTGCTGCCCCCCCTGAAAAATGCCACCCTAGGCAAATGCCTTGTTTGCCTTGTGGTAAATACACCCCTGGTCATGTCGGTGTGGATCCGACTTGGTCGGAGCCGCACTGATTTCTAAAGTAGTACATGTACTACTTTTGCTGCGATTTGCATAGACATCTGTGTTAGATGTCTTGCAAATCGCAGTGAAATCGGCAGGTCCCCCGATTTTAAAATCGTGCGACTTCATTGTAAGTCGCATGATTTTAAAATCAGCTTTGATGTGACCGGGGTGTAAAGCATTATACTGCCTTTCCTGGTTTGCCATATTTTATCCCGGTGAATCTCTTCCCTAGGTAAGCGACGCAGTCAGTCATCCATGTGATGTAAAAGAAAACGTGGTTCATCAGACTGGACCACCTTCTTCTATTGCTCCGTGGTCCAGTTGTGATGCTCAATTGCCCACTGTAGGAACTTTTGGTTGTGGACACGGGTCAGCATGGGCACCCTGACTTGTCTGCATCTGGCTACAAAGCCCCATACACAACAAACTGCGATGCCCATATTTTCTGCTCTCGATACATCAACTTCAGGGACAACATGTTTACCTGCTGCCTGATATATTCCACCGACTTTCAGATGCAATTGAAACAAGACAATCAATGTTATTCACTTAACCTGTCAGTGATCATAAAGTTATGGCTGATTGGTTTAAATCAATCTCCATCCACCCTGCCCCATGTTTTCTTTTTTTCCTGCATACCTTGTTGCAGATACCATTTCAGATACTCACCCACCCAGTGGATCCTCTACAAAATCCTCTCAGAATTCAGCGGATGCTCAGTCCCATGCTGCCATCTTCTTGTATGACATCATCAGGAGGCTCGCTGGCTCTTAGGGGCTCAGCCATTGGGACTCAACATGATGCTATGTATGCCCCCCTCCCCCCATCCTCCTTTCTCAATGAAGTACTGTGCCTTCTGGGATATATGACGTGTATATCCCAAGAGGCACAGTGAGCATAATGCATGTCATCCGCATAGGCGATTGACGTACATGGGGGGGGGGGGGGGGGGTGACCTGACTTTTTTTAAATAAAAAAAAGGTAAAAAAAAAAGTGCAATGTGTAGAGGAGGAGGGGATGAGGAGTGGAGAAGGTGGAACTTGAAGTGTTACTAAACCAAGGACCCTGCATTCACTGTATCTGATCTCCCACAGAACACACAACATGGAAATGCAATTATTTTAGTAAATATAAACTGCTAAATACCTTTTCTCATCCGCAGTTAGAGCAGTCTTGTGACTTCAGTGTCCAGCAGAGCACTAGTTAAAACTTGTAGGAGGAGTTTTCTTTCTGCTCTAGGAGGATTCAAAACCCCTGACCTCTGTCTGGACAGTGCTGATTGGCCCTGTGCTGATCACATGCACTCTCCCAAGAAAAAAAGAAAAACTCTCTAGCAATACCCACTAAACTGAGCATGTGCAGTATTATTATTATACAGGATTTATATAGCGCCAACAGTTTGCTCAGCGCTTTACAATATAAAGAGAGACAATACAGCAACAATACAGTTCAATACAAGAGGGTTAGGAGGGCCCTGCTCCTTGGAGCTTACAATCTAAGAGGGAGGGGCTAGTGGTACAAAAAGTAATAACTGTGGGGGATGGACTGGTAAGAGGAATAGAAGATTCCGTTATTAGCTGAGGGCAGGATAAGCTTCCCTGAAGAGAAAGGTTTTCAGAGATTGCCTAAAAGTGGGAAGAGTAGGTGATAGTTTGATAAATTGGGGTAGAGAGTTCCAGAGGATGGGGGGATGCTCTGGAGAAGTCCTGGAGATGAGAATGGGAGGAAGAGACCAGGGAGCAAGAGAGCAAGAGGTCGTGGGAGGAGCAGAGAGGACGGTTTGGGTGATATTTGGAGACAAGATTGGTGATGTAATTTGGGGCAGAATTATAAATGGCTTTATATGTTATTGTTACTGTTTTTTAATTTTATTTGTTGGGCAATAGGAAGCCAGTGGAGGGATTGGCAGAGAGGGGTGGCAGATATGGAACGATTAGTAAGGTGGATGAGTATGGCAGCAGCATTCATGATAGACTGACGAGGGAATAGCCTGCAATGAGGTCGGCCAATGAGGAGGGAGTTACAGCAGTCAAGGCGAGAGATAACCAGGGAGTGAATAAGTTGCTTAGGTGTTCTTTTATGAAACAGAGATCAGCGGCGATCCTGAGGATCGTTGCTGATCTCCGATCATTAGTGGTTTAGGAAACAGAGATGATCAGAGGAGAACATGTACTCCACTGATCATCTCAGCACACAGACGGCCAATGTATGGAGGAGCGATGTCAGCCCTTCACTGGAGATCTGTGTTCTCCCTCCAGATTCTCCAGCCCAGAGGTGGAGAATCAGGGGAACCGCTGCTTAGTAAATGGTGTTTGACTGATCTCTTACTGTAATCTCTCAAGAATATAGTAACAGCAGCCGTTTTCCAGCATTCAAAGCGTTTGTAGATCACTTCTCTCCTCATTCAGAGACGTGATCTACACCGCTTCATAAAAAGGCATTCAGGGAAGAAATGTCTCCTCTGAGAACGCCAGAGAACTGAGCAAGGGTCATTTACCGCTGCATGATAAAAGGACACCTATGTGGTTTCAGAGGTTAAGAACGGGCGTATCTTGGAGATGTTGTGGAGGTGAAATATGCATGTCACTAGGGGTTCAGTCTGTCTTAACAGGTGGACATTTGAACAAGAGGAGGGGCAGAGAGGACAGGATCAAACAGCCTTTTTACACAATGCAGAGGATTAACCCCTAACAAGCATGCTTTACTGCATATACCGACTGATTTTACTGTTGTGGGTTTAGTAACACTTTAAATAAGAGGGTTAAGATCCACTTTAAATACCTGTAATAAATACCCATAGGCAGGGGTGGACTGACCATTTGGAAACTCGGACACTGCCCAAGGGCCCGGGGTCAGTAGGGGGCCCCATGAGATGCCCCTGATACCTTTTTCATAGGCTTTTTTGAGTTTGCGCAAGGTCACAGGGGCCCCATGATCCCCTATTGCCCGGGGGCCCCATGAGTTGTCAGTCCACCCCTGTTTGGGGGGACTTTTAATTTTTTTAATAAAGAAATTGTCAAAAGTTTGGGTGTCTTTATTTCTAGGTTACATTTTTTGTGAATGAGTATGATCTATGCATTCATTCACAAGGTGGCTTCCAGATTCTGATAAGCCCCTCTTTGAAGTTCCACAACCACTTGTCAAGGGTTTGTGGTAAGAGACCCTTGGCCCCATTAACATGGGGGCAAGATGCTTTGCATGCTTGGATTAAGGTTCTTGTATGAATTTTAGGAGGACCCCAATCAGATTTTTTTTTTTTGCATGGGTATCCCCCTTAAAATAACATTTCCTGTTGTATGTCATGCATTTTTTTTTATTTTTTTGCTCAAATGGTTTACATTTGCAAATGCATTTTTTAAGAGGGGGGGAGGAAGCCAGCGCATTTTCTTTGTAATTCTTGTTGTAAGAGGTGCTACAACAAAATTGACAATTACAACATGAAAAAATTGGAAGAAGTTTGAATTGGCAGCTTTTTTTTTTTTAACGCACATAAACCCTCCTAATTTCTCCCAAAATAGTTTGGGCAAGGTTACAGGGGCCCCATGATCCCCTATTGCCCAGGGGCCCCATGAGTTGCAGTCCGCCCCTGCCTGTAGGTCACCTACTGAATGTATAGAGCACATCTCCTAGACTGTAAGCTCCAAGGAGCAGTGCCCTCAAACCCCTCGTGTATTGTTTTGTTACTGTATTGTCTCATGTACTGTCCCCTACTATAATGTACAGCGCAGAGCAAACTTTTTGGCTCTATATAAATACTGTATAATAATAATAATAATTGTGGATATATACTCTGATGTCAGGCAGTGAAGGGGTTACAGGGTAGGCACAGTAAGAATTTGTGTGCATTTTTGTGGCAGTGTGGTTACTGGTTGGAGACTCTTGTGCAACCTTACAGACATATGCATTCCCTCAAAGTCCAAAGACAGCTCCTTACATACTACAGCCCAGCCAGCGACTCCTACATGACTACACATGAGTGCGATGAATGATTCCCCATGTGCACATAAATCCATGATCTCCTCCACAGGGTGTGCTCAGAGATCGGACTGTGTGCTGTAACCTGAGCCGGAGCGGAGGACGTATTCATTGGAACACGTGAGCACAGCGCTGCCTGGGAGGGAGAGAAGACTGCGAAGGCTGGTCCGCTCTCTACTGTGCCACATCAATGGCTGGACGCTACAGGCATCTCGTGCTCGGCTGGCTCACCACCCTCACTGCGGGGCTGGTCTACACCTCTCCCAGCTGCCTCCCCGGAGACCGAGCCTTGGGTAAGAGAAAGAACAATGGGACATTATTAGGGACCATGTGCTGGAGGACTCAGGACTTTGTAGAAGTGTAGGAAGATAGGACCAGATGATACAGGTAGACTCCTACTACTAGATGGTATCCTACTGTTATGACTGTTATGTAGATGAGTTTATCTACATGATCCTACTCTTATCTAATGTATTTATTTCAGGTACTTATATAGGGCTGTTACATATATTGTTACATACATACATATATTGTACATTCACATCAGTCCCTGACCCTCAAGGATGTACAACCCTTGGGGGTCTGGGACTGATGTGAATGTACAATATATGTATGTAAATCTAAGGTCCCTAACTCACATTCATACATACACATACTAGGGCCAATTTAGAGCTAATTAGCCTACCAGCATGTCTTTAGAGTGTGGGAGGGGAGGAGGCTGGAGTGCCTGTAGGAAGCCCATGCAGGCACAGGGAGAACATACAAACTCCAGGCAGGTGGTGCCATGGTTGGGATTTGAACTGGCGACCCTGGTGCTGCCAGGTGGAAGTGGTAACCATTAAGCCACTGTGCTGCCCCGTATGTTAGGTGTCTGAGCTAAAATATAAACAGTAGACTGTGTATTCTATTTACCTTTTAAAAAGTATTAGAAGTATAATTTTTGGCATTAAGGTATTTCGTTTATGAAGAGTTTTTATTGAGTTTTGCCATTTAAAATAATGAATATACAAGTAATGCACAAAGGGGTATGCATTTAAAGTGGAAGTCCTGTATAAACCTAATCTAATCTTAAAGTAATTGTAAAGTGAAACTTTTTCTTTTTAAATAACAAACATGATATGGAATTGCACAGAGTGGCCCCGATCCTCCTTTTCTTGGGTCCCCTGGTTGGCGTTCCTGGCTCCCCCTATTTTTGGTGTGCCACCATAGGAAGTGCTTGCAGTTGTAGTACACCTGAGGGCTCGATCCTGAGTTATGCTGCCTGAGTCCATAGACACACACAGCAAGGCTCAGCCCCAACCCCAGCTCCCTCATTACAGGATTTGACTGACAACAGTGGGAGCCAATGGCTCCTGCTGCCTCAGCAAAACCTGTGAGCGTGTGGAGATCCGCTACAGAAAGGAACAGCACTAGATTGAGTGAGGACTTGGGTAAGTATAAAGGGGGTTGAGAGGGCATACTGCTACCTAAACTTTTTTTTTACCTTACAGCTCAACTCTGGGCAAAAAAAAAGTTTTCCCATGCAGTGGGGCTGTGCCGACACTGCACAGGTTAGCTGCTCGTTATTTTTCTAGGGCAGCAGTCTCCTAACTGTGGCCCGGGGGACAGATGCGGCCCTTGGGACAATTTTCTTCCCACTGACACCAATGATGGGACACCATTATGCCCAAAGATATCAACAATGGGACACTATTCCTCCCACTAAAACCAAGGATAAAGCATTATTTACTCCCACTGGCCACACTCTGGCCCCCCTAAAGCCAAAAAGACATAAAATGTCCCTTTGTTTATAAGGTTTGGACACCCCTGTTCTTGGAGTTCGGAAAACAGAGATATACTATATCCTCCAATCTTCCCTGCACAAGACTGGTCCATGTGGCTCTTGCCCCTCCGTGGGCTAGTGGACTTGTGTGGTGGACTGTTCCAGACATCATCATGCTCACAAACCTGCTCTGGACATGAGGATGGCAGGAACAGTCCACAGCTGGATCGCGAGGGATTGCATCGCTGTTTGTTGGTAGAGCAGAGGATCGGGTGAGTATATAGCTTTCTCCTCTCCCCTGGACAAAACAATCAGTTAATCCATGCTGTCTGGGCACAGCCCCACTGCATGGGAACACTTTTTTTTGCCTGGAGCTAGGCTTTAATACAGAGAGTGCATTAACCATTTGAGCTCCGGGAGATTTTACCCCCTTCATGACCAGGGCATTTTTTGCTTCTAAGCACTGTGCTATGTTAACTGGTAATTGCACGGTCATGCAATGCTGTACTCAAATGAAATTTATGTAATTTTTTCACACAAATAGAGCTTTTTTTTAGGTTTTTTATTTTTTCTTATATATAAACGAAAAAAAAATTCCAAAAATTATGAAAAAAAATGTTTACTTTCTTCTTCATATCTAATAAAAAAAATTTTAAAAAATCAAATTTCTTCATAGAGATTTGGGCCAAAATGTATTCTGCTATATATCTTTGGTAAGAAAAAAATGTAATTGGTTTGTGTGAAAGTTATATAGCATCTACAAACTATGATATATGTACTGGAATTTTTAAATATATATATTTTTTTTATACTAGTAATGGCTGTGGTCAGTGTGGCGGGCAATCTGACACTGGGTGAGAACTGACACTGACATCAGCAGTGACACTAATACAGTGATCAGTGATAATACTACACACTGTCACTGTACTAATGACACTGGCTGGGAAGGAGTTAATATCTAAGGGTAATCAAGGGATAAGGTGGGTGCCTAACAAGTGTTATGTGTGTAATGTATGCTGCTTTTTACTAAATATCTGTTTGTTTCTTCTCCCTGCAAAGCAAAGAACAAACAAAAAGATCATTCCCTCTGTACAGAGCCCTGTGTTGTTTGTCAACACAGGGCTCTGGGCTGTGATTAGACACAGCCAATTAGCAGGTCCCGAAACCTGAAAATAGGCAGTGACTGCAGTACAACGCGGGCGAGTGGTTCTAAAGATGTTAAGGTAAAAAAAAAAAAGTTTAGGCTTTAGAGCCGCTTTAAACCTGCTCCCACACCCATTCTAAATCCTATACTAACTACTCTGTAGAAGAATGATATCTATTCTTACCTATTCTCAGGGTGATCCGGTCAGATGATCAGCTTCCGGCGCCAGCTTCAGAGAAGAGATGAGACGTCTCACAATGGATGCCTCATAGTAAACCTATGGGTGACCTCAACATCCAGGCATTGCAGCCATTGTTGGCAATCTCTCCTGTCACCTAAAGCTGGTGTTGGGAGCCAGCCATGTGATCAGACCAGAGAGCCCTTGGGTAAGGTAAGTATACACTCACCGGCCACTTTATTAGGTACACCTTGCTAGAACCAGGTTAGACCCTCTTTTCCCTTCAGAACTACCTTAATACTTCTGGCATAGATTCAACAAGGTGTCAGAAACGTTCCTCAGAGATTTTGGTCCAGATTGACATGAGTTACTGATACCTTTCTATCATCTCGAACTAGTCTGCCCATTCTCCTCTGATCTCTGACATCAACAAGGCATTTTCGTCCACACAATTGTCACTCACTGGGTATTTTCTCTTTTCTGGACCATTCTCTGTAAACCATAGAGATGGTTGTGGTGAAAATGAAGGTGAAGGAACACCAGGTCATGAGGCCCAAACAAACCTTCTGCTTACCAACCTCACCTCCTTTTTTTATTCACCTACAGTGGATATAAAAAGTCTACACACCCCTGTTAAAATGTCAGGTTTTCTATGATGTAAAAAAATGAGACAAAGAGAAATAATTTCAGAACTTTTTCCCCGTTTAATGTAACCTATAAACTGTACAACTCAGTTTAACAACAAATTGAAATCTTTTAGGTGGAGGGAAGTAACAATAAAAAACTAAAATAATACGGTTTCATAAGTGTGCACACCCTTAAACTAATACTTTGTTGAAGCAGCTTTTGATTTTATTACAACACTCAGTCTTTTTGGTATGACTCTATCAGCATGGCACATCTTGACTTGTCAATATTTGCCCACTCTTCCTTGCAAATACATTCCAAATCTGTCAGATTGTGAGGGCATCTCCTGTGCACAGCCCTCTTCAGATCACCCCACAGATTTTTGATCGGATTCAGGTCTGGGCTCTGGCTGGGTCATTCCAAAACTTTAATCTTCTTCTGATGAAGTCATTCCTTTGTTGATTTGGGTGTATGCTTTGGGTCATTGTCATGCTGAAAGATGAAGTTCCTCTTCATGTTCAGCTTTCTAGCAGAAGCCTGAAGGTTTTGTGCCAATATTGACTGGTATTTGGAACTCTTCATAATTCCCTCTACCTTGACTAAGGCCCCAGTTGCAGCTGAAGAAAAAAACCCCAAAGCATGATGCTGCCACCACCATGCTTCACTGTGGGTATGGTGTTCTTTTGGTGATGTACACTGTTTTTGCGCCAAACATATATTTTGGAATTATGGCCAAAAAGTTCAACCTTGGTTTCATCAGACCATAACACATTTTCCCACATGCATTTTGGGAGACTTCAGATGTGTTTTGGCAAAATTTAGCCGGGCTTCGTAACAAAAGGCTTCTGTCTTGCCACTCATATCCCATAGCCCAGACATATGAAGAATACGGGAGATTGTTGTCACATGTACCACACTGCCAGTACTTGCCTGATATTCCTGCAACTCCTTTAATGTTGCTGTAGGCCTCTTGGCGGCCTCCCAGACCAGTTTTCATCTCGTCTATTCATCAATTTTCTCCACTTCACTGACTGTCTTCACTGTGCTTCATGGTGTATCTAATGCCTTGGAAATATTTTTGTACCCTTCTCCTGACTGATACCTTTTAAGCCCCGGTTCACATCTGTGCGGGTGGTGCCGCTGCGGATCTGCACGCAAATCCATGCAGCCGCACCACCCGCACAGAGAAATGCGGACCCGCGGGCAGGTGCCATTAGTTCTAATGGCATGCCGCCCGCACTGGAAAACACAACTGTACTGGGAATCGAGGTTCCTGTGCTGGCTGCGTTTTCCAAAGAAATGGAGGGCTTCTTTCCCTGCGTGTCACGGGCACGGGAGTCCATTCAAATGAATAGGCTCTTGTGCCTGTGCAAAATGCGGCCCGCACGGCCGCATAGATGAGAACCGGGGGTCATAGTGAGATTCCTCTGATGCTTTGGAAGCTCTCTGCGGACCATGGCTTTTGCTGTAGGATGCGACTAAGAAAATGTCAGGAAAGACCTACTAGAACAGCTGAACTTTATTTGGGGTTAATCAGTGGCACTTTAAATCATGGCAGGTGTGTACTGACTCCTATTTAACATGATTTTGAATGTGATTACTTAATTCTGAACACAGCTACATCCCCAGTTATAAGAGGGTGTGCACACTTATGCAACAGCATTATTTTAGTTTTTTATGTTTACTTCCCCCCCTAAAATATTTGTTTGTTTTTCAATTGAGTTGTACAGTTTATAGGCCATATTAAAGGTGGAAAAAGTTCTGAAATTATTTATCTTTGTCTCATTTTTGTACATCACAGAAACCTGACATTTTAACAGGGGTGTGTAGACTTTTTATATCCACTGTAAATTATGAAGATTAGGACCAGACAATTCATGAATCATTTTTCCCCTAAATTCCTAACTAGCATAACGTTTTGCAAATTAGACAAGTATACAGATATTCTGGAGAATCAAAAAGTTATGACCCTGTGATTCATCTGTTTAGTCATCCCCAACAACAAAGCACCATTGCTCTTTCATTCGTGCTGCATGCTTCATTTCACCATTCTTGTATTATCTTACCAGGTTATTTTAAAAAAAAAAGTGACACTATACTCCATTTTATGTAAAACGAGCAGCCCAGCTGTTGAGTTGGAACGCTGCCTCGTCCAAAAAGAAATATTTACATGTAAAAAGGAAAAGAACACGTTCAGAAAATTCTGTTTTGCAAAAGAGGACTGTTCCAATAATCTGTGTTCTTTAGTTGAGAATGTGAGATCTTTGAATAAAAAGGCACCAAGGAGTGTGTGTTAAATACACTGGGCCTGATATGTAATTGTGCTCTGTAATCATTAATACACATTTAAATTTTGTTTTTACCACTTCTGCCCCAAGCCCATTCTGACACTTCTTTCCTACTAAAAATCTGTAATTTTTTTGCTAGAAAAATGACTTAGAACCCCTAAACATTATTTTTGTTTAATCAGAGGCCCTACGGAATAAAATGGTGGGTGTTACAATTTTTTTTTTCAAATTCTTTATTTAGACAATACCATATTCACAGAGCAGTAAAATACAAGAGAAACATATATGCCAATAGAGGGTAACTCCTTCAAAAGGTCACAAGCCGTCATAAAAAAATAGAACAGGTATAGACAATATAAAGTGCAAAGAAGACTCATTCAGAACATGTAACTATTACATAGTCCAAAATAGGGAATAGGGTGAGGGGTTTACCTCAAAATTGGACCGGGCTGCTACTAAAATTGCCCAAGGTATATCCCTTTTTTTGTTTGTGTAAAGAGTCAGGAGAAGAAGAGAGTGGGGTCTGGGCAGAGTATCACATGATATTTATGCAACGATTTTTCAAAAGCAATTTTTTGGAAAACAATATATTTTAGTTAATTTTAATGCAAAAAAAACCACCATATAATGCCAAATTGTTTGGTAATATATAAAAGATGATATTACACCGAGTAAAAGACACCCAACATGTCAAGCTTTAAAATTGTGCACGCTCCTGAATGGCAACAAGCTACAGTACTTAAAAATCTCCATAGTCAATGCTTTAAAAGCCTTTATGTATTAAGAATTAAAAGCTGCACAGGACATCTGGGGTTGAAATTTATGCTTTCGCTTTGATGTTACCTCACGTGTTGTACTATTGGCACGTGTTTTCGCTTTTGCGTGCGAGAATGGTGAGACGGGGACGCTTTTTAAAAAAAATCTATTTCATTATCTATTTTATTTAAATGTTTTTATTTTTACACTGTTCCTTTAATTTTTTGACCACTTTTATTGCTGAGCAACATCCCTTGTGATAGCATGGGCAGTAACATATTCTCTTTAGTGAGACATCTGGGGTCTATTAGACCCCATATCTCTCCTCTGCCCTTAAACACATCTGATCAAACCAAGATCGGTTTGATCAGGTGCTTTTGCAAGCCAGGTTTGGCTTGTTTACATCCTGGCAAAACTGAAAGTGACAAAATAGTTGTTGTTTCCAGTTTCTTATACCATAGAGATGATCGGGGACATTCCAGTCCTTGATCTACTCTATGGTAATCCGGCTTCAGTCCCGGGTTCCCCAGTGGGATAGCAGAGCCCAGAAAGAAAGGCAAAGGTGATGGAAAGTTGGGCCCCTCTCCCGTCCCCTGTATAAGCAATCCAGTGGCTAATTAGCTGTTATGATTGCTTTTACATTAAAGCCCGCCACTGGCAGAAAAACAGGATACTGCCTGCCACTGCAGGTATCCTCCCCGTATAACCACTTCAACCTTGTGACGTATGGGTATGTTGCAGAAGCTGAAGTGGTTAAATGCAAGCAGTAAAAGTACTAGTCCTGGTATCAGCATCTTGCAGTTCCTGTACAGCAGGGTTGGAGTATTAGAGGACAAGGGGCCAGTCAGTTCATGTGCTGACAAGATGCATGTTGATAGGAGGAGAGAGCAGGGTAACAGGGTCATGAGCACTGTGCTACGTCTTCTTTCACTGTCCAGCCACACGCTGGGAGTGGGTCCAGCATGACCTGGGCTCTGAGAAAGTGGGTTGAATATACAGTTTATATAGTCTAAGGATATCTAGTGGCATAAAAGAGTATTGTGGGGAAAATCTCGGGATTGAAGATGAATATTGCAGCAAAAGCAAGTTTTTATTGAATGGGCTATTTGTTTTTATCTTGTTAGTTTAAGAACATATATGAGAGCAGGTTACCAGTTTACAACTACACAGGAGGTCTGGTGCTAGATTTATTGTTTATGTGTGAAGGTGATATCTTTTCATTGCTTTGGGCAGATACACTCAGAGAGATATTAAGAGGAAACAGGAGCATGGAGTCAACGCATGCATGGAGTCATACAGCATGCTACAAATGTATCTCTTTTCAGCATGCTCATTACTTTCTTTTGGTCCCTAGAAACCTTGATTTCAAGTATTTTTATAGCACCTACAATTTACATAGCACTTTACATATTGTACATTCACATGAGTCCCTTGCCTCAAGGAGCTTACAGTCTAAGGTCCCATCTCACATTCTTACATACTGTATGTAGCACTACCCCTTAGGAGTCGCTACGTTTCTGGGTCCGCCTGTAGTCCTGCACAGCAAGACAACACACATTTTCTTCAGACTATGCTCACTGGAGACAGTAAACAGTCATTGAGCTTTTTTTTTTTTTTTTTTTAATTTTATTAAGGGGTATTGAACTTGGATGGGGTTTAGGGATGTATGGGATGCCCAAGGAAATTGCAATTTTAAGGACAACTCCTTAGCAACTATGTACAAGTCCACAGACAAAGATTCTCTTCTTGGAGAGCTCCACAGCCCTCCTGGTGTATCACCTCAGACCCCAGATGAATTCTCATCTTTACCCAGCTGCTTGAGGGAATCCCTGAGCAAGGGGGCCCAGAAACTGTCACTTTAAATCAACAGTCCCAGATGGGGGCTAGTCAGGTTTCTCACCAGAATGCCCTGTCCCCTTATCTGGCCCAGGGGGTGTAGCATTACTCACTCAGTCCTCTTCTTCAAGCTTGTGGGTTGGTGGCTGCCTTCAGGCCTTATGCTGGGCTGGCTCCTTTCCTGCTTCCCAGGCTGTCCTCTGTCAGGGGACAGTTGAGGCTGAGAGATCCTCCCTTCCATCTCCTGCCTGCAGGTAGGTCCCTCTCCTGGGCCCCCTCCCAGGCTCCACACTCCATCTTCCACCTTACTACTCCTATGCTGATCAGGCTCTCTCATACTTAAGAGATGTTCTGACCCCTATACCAAGCCTCCAAGGTGTGGATTTGTAAGAATCCCTTGACTATGCAGATCAGACCTTACTCACCCCCACCCACTGGCCTTCTAGAAATTTCTCAAGCTTCTAGAGCAGGGGGAGGTATCAGGGAACTGACAGAATCCTCAGCCCTGACCTACAGGGTACCTGGTTGCCTTATCTCATGCTGAGTCACACCAGGCTGCTATCCAAGATCTAACTGAAAAACCTAACTAGCTTCCCCTGGCTAACTAGAGGGGCACTACACTTATATGCACACGCATACTAGGGTCAGTTTGGACAAGAGCCACATTACCTACCAGCATGTGTTTGGAGTGTGGGAGGAAACCCAAAAACCACAGGTACAACATTCAAACTCCATGCAGGTATTGTCCTTGTTGTGATTAGAAATCCAGTCTACTGATCACTAAGGCCTGGTTCACACATATGCGTTTCTTTGGTGCTTTTTGCTGAAGCATACTACAGTCCATTTAGCATGATTCCCTATGGGATACGATCACATCTATCCTTTTTTTAGCTGCTGCATTTTTGGAAAGGGTCAGGGGCTTTTTTTAAACACAAATTGTGCTTTTTGGTTCAATAGACTTCAATGGAGAATCTGCTCAACAGCAAAATAGCTTAAAAAAAAGATGAAATAGAAAGTGAAAAGAAAAGAAAGATGCGTGTGCAAAAAGTTCTGGGTGTACATTATATGACGTCCTCCCAGAACGCGCTCTCCGCGCGCACCCGGCGATCTCCATGATCACTGTGTCCACAGCTGATCACGGGATGTGGTAAAAGGCCAATCACTGCGGCCTTTCACCATGTGATCAGCCATGTCCAATGACATGCTGATCATAGGGAAATGCCATTACCGGTTTTCGGCTGCACTTTCCTCACGCTGTCAGAGCGTGAGGAAAGTACTGCCGAGAACCGGCAGTTGTCAGAGCAGGGATCTGCACCAATCATCAGGGCACTGATGATCAGTGCCCTGATGATCGGTGCCCAGCAGTGCCACCCACCAGTTCCTCCCACCTGTGCCCAGCAGTACCACCCACTTGTGCCCAGCAGTGCCACCCACCTGTGCCCAGCAGTGCCCATCAGTGCCGCCCACCTGTGCCTCCCACCAGTGCCCAGCAGTGCCACACACCTGTGCCCAGCAGTGCCACCCACCAGTGCCCCAGTGCCAATCAGTGCAGCCCAGCAGTGCCGCCAGACAGTGCCACCAGTCAGTGCCCAGCAGTTGTGCCAGTCAGTGCCCAGCAGTTGCACCAGTCAGTGCCCAGCAGTGATGCCAGTCAGTGCCACCCATCAGTGCTGACTAACAGTACCCATCATCAGTGCCGCCTATCCATACCACCTCATTAGTGCTGCCTATCAGTGCCGTCTATCAGTGCCCATCAGTGCTGCCTCAGCAATGCACATCAGTGAAGGAGAAAAAATTACCTGTTTGCAAAATTTTATAATAGAAACAAAGAAACTTTTTTTTTCAAATTTTTTGCTCTTTTTTTGTTTATAGCGCAAAAAGCAAAACCCCCAGCGGCGATCAAATACCACCAAAAGAAAAATCTATTTGTGAGAAAAATTCATATGGGTACAATCTTGCATGACCGCGCAATTGTCATTCAAAGTGTGACAGGTATGAAAGCTGAAAATTGGCCTGGTAAGGAAGGGGTATAAGTGCCCGGTAGGCAAGTGGTTAAACTCAGTTAGAAAAATGTTTGAATCCTTGGTGAAAGTTGTGTGAATCTCAGGGGAAAATATTTATAAACACACCTCTAAGTGTTCCTAGGGACCAAAAGTAGGCTCAGTTTTAGAAAGGTGCAGATAGAAAAGCCAATTTTGACACCCATGTGTACAATCCCTTGTGCTCTTTTTCTAAAACTAGCTACAAACATGCTTAACTTACAATTTACTTCTAAAACATATGTCAGCTGGCTACAGCTCCGGCTACATCAGATGTATTGGAAGCGCTTCCTAAGCTCAGGTTCTCAAAACGTGTCTGTATGACCCAAATTTAAAATGCCTCCAGAGATACATATTTCCTTTTCTACTGTATTTATAATGAATAGTCCCTGAGCTCATTCCATTAACCTAACCACAGCCCCAGGGTATAACACAATTTAATGACCTTGTCATTTAATAGATCGGAGGAGGAAAAACTGGTGAAGTTATTTTGGAGACGCTATGTTTTTATTCAAAGTAGAAGAATAATTTAAATGCCTTCATTGTCAAACATATCTTCTTGTTGGGACATTTATACATGGATTTAATGTTAAAACATCTGCTTCAACAACAGCAAGGCAGGTCATAAAATGCACTGAATGCTCCAAGGTGCTAGGTCATGTTAATTACCCCTTGTCCAGATAACTAGGGAGTGTTGAGACTTGCTTTACTGCCCATTATGTGGAATGCTGAGGGTCTGCCTCTACCAATCAACCACAAAGCTAACATTTTTTCAAGCACGTTTGTTATTGTTTTAGAAGCCTTTTATCCTACAGGGTAAGTAAGCATACAATGTTTTTCTATCCTAAGCTATGTTTTAGTAGGAGATGAAATTACTAGTAAGGGTTACTATATATAAATTGTTCATCATATGCCATCGCTTACATGGACACTTATTTTCAAGATGTCTCATATTTAAAGGGAATGCCCCAAGTTGTTTCAAGGCAGAGCACAAATGTATGATATTATGCACAGTGATGTACCTGCCCTTTAATTAGCATTGTAGACTGTTAGAAGGTGCCAGAAGGTCCAAGTCCAACACAAATTGTGTTAACCACTTCATGTCTGGTCACTTTCACCCCTTTCCTGTCCAAGCCAATTTTCAGCTTTCAGTGCTATCACACTTTGAATGACAATTGTGCGGTCATGCAACCTTGTACCCATATGAATTTTTTAGCATTTGTTTGAGACAGATAAACTTTATTTTGGTGGTATTTATTTACCACTAGGGTTTTTATTTTTTTTTTGCTATGTAAATGAATATGTCCAAAAATTTTGAAAAAAGTGTTTTTCTTATAAAATTTAGCAAATAAATAATATTTCATCATAAATCTTGGCCAAAATGTATTCCATTATCTTTTTAATAAAAAAAAATAACCCAATTTAGTTTATAACCAAAAATTATAATTTTTAAACATTTTTTTTTAACATTTTTATATTATTATTTAGGTTTTTTTTTTTTTACATACTGTCACCCTAGCAGTACAGTGTCACCATGGTGACACTGTACTACTTGTGGGGGGGGGTGATGAGCCATTGAGAACTACTGTGTGAGCTGTGATTGGTCATAGCTTGTCACATGGTACAAGGCTGTTGTGAATAGCCTTGTACCGTGTGATTATTCACAGATTTCACACGTAGTAGGCAATGATGTCAGAAGTGACATCTTCCTTACTACTCTGCATGTGATCACTGATTGGCCAATCAGTGATCACATGATCGGGACCTCGTAGAGAGGTCCTGTCCAACGATTGGTGTTCTACTGTGTCCGGAGGACACAGTGGGCACTGGATCGCGATGCTGCCCACTCCCAGGGAGGGAGCGTGCGCACAAGCAGGGAAGTGGGGAGGCCGTTTATAAATGTCCACCCGACCCTGCACTGCCACCGTCCGGCCGTTTATATATACAACAGCTGAATGGGAGGTGGTTAATCAAAGTACGTAAAAAGCTTGCTCAGAACTGACAGGTTGCAGGAGAGGCTCCTGCTATGAGTGCCCAGTGTGGCTGTCAGCATTAGCTGCTGTGCTGCACTATGGACCCCCCCATCCCCCTGTATCTACAGCCTTGCCCTCTCCCCTTCATTACAACTCTGCCCCCCAGTACAGCTGGGCTACTCAGTACAGCTCTCTCCCCCTTCATTACAGTTTTCACCCCTCAACACAGTTCTACATCTTCAGTAGAGCTCTGCGCATTTATTACAGTTCTACACCCTCAGTGCAGCTCTGCAGTACTCCCCTGAATACAGCCCCTCTTCCCCATAGGAAGCCTTGCCCCCTCAGTACAGCTCTCCCCCTTCAGTACTGCATTGTAAGCCCAGCGTGCCCGTCAACACTTGCTGCTGTACTGCACCCTGGACCCCCCTATCCCCTACTTATCTATGCCCCTGCCCTCCTTCAGTACAACTCCCCCCACTCAGTACAGCTCTACCCCCTTCCCCACTATAGCTGTGCCACCTCTGTACAGCTACCCCCCCCCCCCCCCCCCAGTACAGCTCTCCCTCTCAATGCAGTTCTATGCCCCCCCCCCCCCCCCCCCCCCATATCCACAGATCAGGCAGTTCAGAGTAAGATGTCATGATTTAGCCTGCAGTTTCCCTGCCTATGTAGTTCTAACCTGCTTGCTGCATTGCTTCTCCTAAACCTGGGATTCCTCTCACATGTGTGATTTGGCTGTGCTCACTAGTGATAGACTGGATGTTCGGGTCAAACGTAAGTTTGACTCGAACATCAGCCGTTTGTGTGTTTGCCGAACACACGAACGGTAAGAGCGTTTAACAGACTGTTCACCTGCCGCGCCCCACAATGCACTGCGCTCCCATAGTGCATTGTGATTGCCCAAAGCCACAGATCAGGTGCAATGCTTTGGCCAATCACAGCACAATTGGGCGGAGTTAGCGGTCATTTCACCTCTAGCTCCGCCAAATTGTTTCCATCTGAACGGCAAATGTGAGATTGTGGCGAATGCTCAACGGGTGTGGACAGATCGGCGGGCGTAGTTTTTTTTTTTTTTCTTAATTTTGGGGAGTCTGCGTCATCCTGACAATGCTGGACACCATGATTGACGATGGATTACAATGATGGAATAATTGTTCTGGCTTTTTTTAATTAAAGAACTTTGTCAAAAACTGTTGTTTTGTTTTTTGTTCAATAAAGGAATTTTTAAAAAACTGGTCTTTTTATTTTTTACAGAATTTAACCATTTAGTGAATGGGTACGGGTACAAGTATCCCTTACTCATTCAAAAGGAAGAAGGCTGCATCAGGTTTCCCCCTTATTTAAAGGGGTACCCTGATGCTAATGAGCTCCCCTACCCACAGACCCCCCACAACCACTGGGCCGGGAAACGGCCCTTGTGCCCATCGGCATGGGGGCACCGTCCCCATGCTGAGGGCATGTGGTCTGGTAAGCCGCAGTGATGGAAGTCACTCGTTCATCCCCCCCTTTATTGCCTAGCTAGGCCTTTGCTCAGATCAAGGGTCTGATAGGAATTTAGGGGGGGCCCACACATTTTCCCCACATTTTTTTGGGGGGGTTCCCCTTAAAAGTCCTACCAGGCCTGGTAGGGTTTTTAGAGGGAACCCCAAGCACCCCCCCCTTTTTTTGTGAGGTGGGGTTCCCCTTAAAAGTGTTCGGCCCATCACTAGTGCTCACCTATGGTATTTTGTGGGTCTGTATTTCTGTTACCTTCTATCACTTCCTGGCCTTCCTCACAGTTTGCTGTGGTTAGAACTTCCACTTAGCAGCATTAGGATTGCTGGTTCGAATCCCAACCATGGCTACGTGCCTGGAGTTTGCATGTTCTCCCTGTGCCTTCGTGGGTTTCCTCTGGATACTCTAGCTTCCTCCCACACAAAGACATGCTGGTAGGGTAATTGTTTTTTGTCTAAATTGGCCCTAACATGTGTGAATGTGAGTTAGGAACCTTAGATTGCAAGCTCCTAGAAGACAAGGACAATATATATGTAGGTTGACTGTGCTATATACTGTAAGTACCCATAATAAAGGGTCAATTACACTTGCAATACATTCTAAATGATCTCAGAGCATTTCAAACTAGTGTCAAAAATGTGCTGCTCATGAAAGTAAAAACACAGGCCCTAAATCTTGTGAGACTAACAGTCAGAGGCAGCAATACCTTAGATTAGCCTTTTTCAACACAGAGAAACCCTTGACATAATGTTCTGGTCTCAGGGAACCCCTGCCAAAAATGACTATTTTTACTCATGATACATTAGTGTGATGATAATTGGGAAGAATGCTCCTTACATTTGCGGTTATTGGGAAGAATTAACAAAATACCATGTGAACGCTCATAAATTAAGTGCATTAAATTTGACAATACATAAATAATATTGCTTCACATATGCAAAGTGAATGAATGTAACATTCAGTCCCAATACGGAAAACTAAAGTGCCCAGGTGTTGAATACTAATGGTGAACTTCGTGCAAAAAATGACAGG